TAACGTACTTTGGTCGTCTGTGGTAGGTAGTACGTAGTAGTAAGGGTTAGGTAACGTTACGTAAGACCTACAAACGAACCGAAACCAACGACTCGTACTACGTAGTGTTTGTTCTCTCTCTCTCTCTCTCTCTCTCTCTCTCTCTCTCTCTCCAGGTCTGATGGAGCACAAAATGGGGGGTCAAACAACCGAGAACTCCCCCATCCAAAGGAATCTTCTGGTACCTGCCCCTGGTAGATGATTAAAACAACCCGATTCTTTGCCCTATGTTATGTGACCAAACATTCAGTGTAGGTCTATAATAAAGTTCACCTGAAGAAAACTACGCTAACAAATCAACATAGGAGAGAGAGAGAGGCGTGCATGTGTGCGTGTTTGTGTATGTGAGAGGGCAAGAGACCAAAATCATGGTCACCTTCAGCAGTTCATCTCTTCCAGAGCCTTGCAAGACTTGTATCTTTCTCCTGGTTCTTTCTTGGAGCAATGGCTTAACCACCTGAAGGCCAAATAAATTTATCCAAACCAAGAACGGAAAACCATTTACTACTGAGAAAATACAGATAACTGCTCTGTGTTTTGAAAGAAAGCAAAGAATCCAAAGACGAGCAACGCAAGAACTGGGTGCGACAAAATAACCTTCCAGCAAGCTGAAAAAATATGTGGAGCATTGACAATGTAATAAATCTCGGTCTTCTCAGGATAATTGAGGTCATCGACTGTAGATATCATAGTCAGTATCTGCAGTCAACCACGATAGAAGGCTTAGCAAGAGAGAGAGAGAGAGAGAGGCAAACCTTTTTGCAAAATAAAGAGAAAATAATGTACATTCTAGACCATTAGATTTAACAATTCAGTAAGTGAAACATAGAAGAATCTCGCAAATAATTCAGTTAAGTGAAACATAGAAGAATATCACAACATCAAGAAAGAGAAAGCTACATGCATCAAGTAAAGCACAAAGAAATGAAACTAGATGTACAACCTGGCCTAAGTCATTTATATAGTGTGAGAAAGTGATTAAAAAGGCAACTCAGGTAGGGACTTGCTAGCAAGTCAGCCGTCCAACTAGGTCAAGTCTAAGTCCAACCATAGAAGTTTGGATAAATAAATTTAAAAAATACTAAAATTGGGTAGACTCAGGCAACACCAGATTTTTTTTTGGAATGGAATCATCTTGCTCCTGATCTGGGATAACTTGGCAAGTCCCTTGTTGGCCAGAGCCATTTACACAGCTATGAGAAAGTGGTGATATGGGACAACCATGACAAATGTGGTAAGGGTATATGACCTTAAATATGTCACAAATTTCAATTTTATCACACTGTAGCTGAATCTATTTTGACATGTTCCAATGACATATAATGAATCTATGACACTTTGTGGGTAGAAATGCTACAATCTTGAAAAGAAAGTTTTGGCATTGCTATTATTTTATGATTTCATCTTTGTGTCTCTTACTTGAACACCTCTGGTGTGTGGTACACATTAACCCATGGAGGCATCTGTTCCTGAACAGGGGCAGAAAGAATAGCCATAGTTCTTGATGATGGAAATTTACCCAGTTATGGCTAATCTCCACTGTCCGTCAGTGGTATCAAACAATGGATGCCCTGTCGTGCACCATTTTACCATAATAAATTACTTTTAATATGAGAACAGTAACTTATCAGGGAAAACATGACATTGACTACTCATAATTCCCATAACATTTTAAGCGAAATTCCAGATAAGAAAAGGAGTGTGTTTCTATGGATGTTTACTGTCAAATCAGATCAATAGTCGTGAGCAGGCTTTCTTTTTTTTTGGGTTTATGAGAACAAATTTATTATGTAAAAAATTGAATCAGACAATTAGTGTGACACCTATCTCAAGCTCTAAAATAAAATAAAGCAAAATTTACTATCATCCAGACATATATCAATTTTTCCAGGGAAATTTATTAAACCACGCCTAAAATATCAACCAGTTAAACATTACAATCGTCATTCAAAACACACCTAAAATACCAACTATTCTAACTTATGTGTCCTTTGATGGGCTTTTGAAATTAAATCACAAGAAATGGATGAGATGTTGAATAGTTTATCTCTTCGATAATTTCTGATAAATTTCCATTTTTGGTAATAACTGATTTCAGTCATCACACACAAGAAAATAATACCATGAAGAAATAAGCATTTAACTGTTCATAGTCATTTAGGACAGGCATATGTAACTTTGTAAATCGATACAGTTCAAAGCAAATATGCAGTTCATTATAGAAAGGAATTTATTCAGTCTTAAGGAATTTTCACTAACGTGTATAGACAGTCAAATCATGCACATGATAGTTTTCCATACCTTTATCCTGCTCAATGCTGAAAGTTTCAATCCAGTCATGTCCAAAACTTTCAAACAAGGTCCAATATATGTCCCAAACTTCTGACTCATCATTGGCTGAAAGAAGCAGCAGGGAATGGAAACCAAAAAAATCCTAAAATCATAATGATTTCAAAACAAAGAAGTATGAAACCAGAACTACTTAGGTTCAAAAAAAAAACTACTCAAATGACTAACCAGTAGAACTCGATCTCGGTACTCGTTCATCTGTATGTGTGATTGTACATATTCATCAGCCTGCAGAAGAACAATTAACCTTTATGGGATGGTCTCTTTCTTCTGAGAGTTATTAATATCCTTGCCTTCAGGATCATCAAAAGTTTGCAATTTGTAGAGTTTTTATTTTAAAAAACAAGTCATTAAGTTCAAAACAAAATATATGGTTTAAGGGGATCAGGTCATATATACTTACAGAAGCTTTATCATATGCACTTAAGCCCACTCCAAGGGCAAAAACAGGACGTCCCTGCCCCAGTTAAAAACAAAAAAAATGCAATTTGTCATAAAGATTTAAAAAGAAATTAGATCATAAAATTTTCAAAATGATAGACACACACACACACAAAAGAGATAGATATATATATATATATATATATATATATATATATATAGAGAGAGAGAGAGAGAGAGAGAGAGAGACAGCACATAGTGTGATTTCACCTGTTTACAGTAGCCTGATAATCCAATAAGTTGTGAGTCTCGAACTGAGGTGTAAACTTCAATGGGTTCAATTGGTCTCTGCGTGAAGAAATAAGCATATTATTAATTATTCAAAAGGGCTGATAAATGATTTACATGCACATATAAAGATCATTAGTATGCTCAACATAATCAGCCACCTTGCGTTAGAAAAGAAAATAGTGAAAAATATTTTAAACTTTCAAGGCATGGCATCCAAAGATCCTTTCAAAGTTTCAGGGCGTAGAACCCAAAGATCCTTTAAAAGCTTCAAGGCATGGCATAGAATCCAAAGATGGATCACAGACATGCAAGCATCATGCCCCAACATATCCCATTTAGGCTATGATGCAACAAAAACTTGCAAATGGTTGTCCAATACGGGTTTGATACTTCAAAAGCACACAGAGAATGATCCAATATTGATGCCTTCCCCATGTCCCATTTCATATTGGGGCAACATAGCATTCAGGTTTTATTAGCAAAGAAATTTCTCCAACACTCACAGTAGGATAAACTTGCCAATGCAAAAAGGTGAAAGAAAAAGGAACAAGAAGAGAGAATACACATTGTAGTATCTATCTTTTCTTTTCTCTTTTTTGGACAACTAAAATGTGTAAAATCGATTCTAACTAGAAGGATTCCTTCCTGCATATTTAAAATATAACCTAAATGATTGCCTTCTTGAAACCACAAAGTAAAATTTGTCCAATTTAAGAAATCAATCAATAATCAACCAACTAAATTATCTTCTACAGTCAGATTCCAACTCAATTTTTTGTCCACGGATGTTCGGCCAGAGAGAACACAAGTCTGTAACCTTTATGATAAGATATATGAAAAACAAGATTTTCAAGAACTCAAGGGCGACGATTTCATGGGTACCTATTTATCAAAAAGTGACATGGGTTCAAATTAGATGACTCAGCTCAAGAAAGGATGATCGTGAGACTTCCTAGATCTAGGTCTGAAGTCCAAGGACCAAGCCACCAACAACGTTTCATGAAGCTTTCTGTTGAAGGTTAGCCCCGTTAGATATCTGGATTCGTTCGTCTGGACTCAAAGAGAGAGAAGGGTTGGTAACTAAGACCTTTTCTAGGCCAATGGATCCTTGCAAGTCTATCAATGTTGAAGCAAGAGGCTTACCAATAAAAATCCTGCTGTTCTCTCTTTCCCTACTTGAGATCTTTTATTAGACTTCTTGAGCACCATCAAGTAGGCCCTATTAGAGTGGGCTTATTTGTAGACACTAGTGCTTTAGTGTCAATCACCTACCACGTTTGCCTGACAGAAAGGAATAGAGGGAAATAGAGGCAAAAATTAAATGTTTTAAGAAGAAAAACTGAAAAATATAAAATATACTTGGTGTCTGACTGCTCTTGAAGATACATTACAACCCCAATCGTTTAAATCAAATTGCAAGAAGGTTCTAATGGTACCACCGCTAGGATACAATCAAGCCAGTGAACTGCTTTCTTTCCCTTTGGTTTCAACCACTATAAGAAAGCTCGCCAGAGTCATCTCAGACACATGCAAGTCACTCAAGCTTGGCAAGCTGCTAGGCCCATAACACGCCCCAACAAGGGGGGTATGTAATATATATAGAGTACTCGAGCAAGTACTGTAGAGACCCACCCAAGTACTTTAAAAACTCCGGATGACTCTCCCCAATTAAGAAACTAGCAGGAAGCTACGGCACTTGCCTGAGTACCTACATGAATCTGTGTCCCTTTTCTCATTTCTGACTCTAGACAACCTTAGAGGCACCTATTTGAGCTAAAATTTCAATGACAAACTACTTTTTGGCATGATCTAGCCCCTATATAGATCAGATTTGAGACATTTGAGATATCAAAGTTAGCAATCTAGGTTTCCACGATTTTAGGAATTAGTGATATGAGCAAAAACATTGTGACTTTTTATTAGCCGACCCCAAATACTTGGGATAAGGCTTGGATGATAATGATGATTTCTTTGCAACAGTTGGTCAATCTTTGATGAAAATTTGTGACGTGAGCCTATTTTTGGGTTCGTCATCCAACCATAGACCCGTCTCTTACAAAAAGACAAAACAAAATCAGATTAATGAGATTTCGAATTTGGGTGAACTATTGATTCGACTTTGCCAAGAGTTCGGATCTCTTAGATACGAACTCAAACCCAAATCTGTTTTGGAAGTTTTGATTGGGATTGTCTGAAGAAAGCTTTGACAAGGATTGGAGGCATCGATTTGCATCAAGCGTCAAGATTTCAGGATTGCCTCTAAATTTTTTAGTTTCAGTCTTTTCAATTTAAATTCATAAAACTTACTTATTTTAGCTAAATATAATTGATTTATAGCTAATTATGTATATACTTCTCTATGTCTTTTATGTTTTTCTACAAGCTTTTCTATTTTTTCTGATTTTCATTTTTTTTATTTTTTCTACCTTTTTAAGCCAATAACATCAATTTTTTTTCATATTCCATGTATATATTTTTTATTTTATAGTTTTTTTATTTTTACTTATTCATATATTTTAGCGATTTTTGCGGCATTTTTCCCAATTATTCAGGCTTTTGGGGCTTTCAGGTGGTGGGGTTCAGACTTAGGCTAGTCAACCCAAACTCGCCCGAGTTACTCGGGCCACCAAGGTGTCGAGTCCCATGGCCAAGCCAGTTTTTCTTACACTGGTTTGCACAGTCAAATAATTACTCAACACGATCAATTTATTGATTAGCCAACAAGATAAACATAAACGACCTAGACAAAATCTTTAGCAATGAGAAACTAACTAGGCTAAACGTTTGAGAGAGAAAAACTAGGCTGAACTAAGAATGAACAACTGGGTTGCACTTAGCGGTAGAAAAACCTTCATATAATCAAGAACAAAGTATGCCATTTGTTGGGGAGAGCGAGAGAGAGAGCGAGAGAGAGAGAGAGAGAGAGAGAGAGAAGGTAGTGAGGAGCCCCTTATAATAATTCCTTCAAAGTGGAGATTGAAAAGTGGTCAATAGTCATGAGTTTTAATAATCAAGGTGGCTAATGGCTTAGGTTTTCAAGAAAGTAAGGTGATGGCTTATGTAACCTATATCGCATGCATAACAATTGCAAGTAGGTGAGGACCGCAGCCATGCACATGCCACAACCGGATGAGTAAGTCGACTCGTGCGCATGCATAACAGTGTAGTATGCCAAACAGTGTTATGGCAACAAAAAAATTGCCCAGGGTACAACTTCTACATGTGCCCAAATCTGCACTACTGGATTCTAATATTAAATTCAGACCTAATAAAAGCAATTCAATGACAAAGTTATGTTGCTTGATGTATGCCAGGAGTTGCACTAGACATGATGTGGCTTTCACCAAGGGTGCACTAAATTGGGGTGCTTTCAATTTCTTTGCCAGACATCTGCAAGTGTGCATGCTTGGCGTGGACAAAGGTAAGAGAGAAGGCAACGGGTGTGAACAGGAGCCCAGTGCTCATGTAAAAGCTAGACTTTAAGCATTTCTTTTTGCTACCATTGCCATACACCATTCACCATACGCCATCGCATTGTTACGCATGTACATGAGCAAGAGCCACCATAACCAATCAGTTATGGCATTTTCCATGCTACCATACACATCCATTGGATACCATTACAGATGTGGCATAAGTTACGTAAGTTCTCTTAAATGTACTAGACACCACCTATCTTCTTTCTTAAAACTCATGACCATATGCCTCTTTGATCTTCACTTCTGAGCTTTATAAAGTGGCTCTTGGCCCATTCGTAAAATACCCCCAACTAACACCCTCTCTTCTAGCACCTCCTCTCTCTCCTCACTCTAATTCAGAGGTTTACTCTCCATTTTTTCCTATTAGTTCAGCTTAGCTTTTATCTCTTCAAGCTTAGCCTAGTCAGTTACTCTCTTTAAGCTTGGTCTGCGTCTTTAATTGCTTTAGCTCATGGGCCAATCAACACAAAATCATTTATCATGATTTTCCATAAGGGGTGCAAACCTAAGTTGAAGAAACATGATCGACCATCTTGATTGTACCCAATGGGGTAGTATCATCAGAACCTTGTTACAACTCAATACAAAGTAAGGCAAATCTGAAAATAGGTAAGCACAATGCACCATAGCTGAATACCAAGTCAACTTTACAGTTTCTTACTGTCTTCCCAAAAAGTTGATTTCGCCAATATTTTCCTACAAAGAAGCAAATGAAGATGCTCATTCTATGATGAAAACCACTTGAAATTTGTTTCTTGAATATGCCATCCCTGTTTGTTACTGAAAATGAATCATACGTGTGAGCAAGGCATCTCATCATTATCATCTAAGCCTTATCCTAATTATTTTGGGTCGGCTGAGCAAGGCATCTATATATTCAAAACATTCTATATTATAAATGCAATGTCTATAGGCCATATACTTTTCTAAAAAAATAGAAACTCTATGAGTCATAAATTATTTATTGGGGTACATCAGTAGCGGGCTTTGAACCTGAGAAGTGGTGTTGCAATTTGTCAATATCACAACGAATCATGCCAATGACCAAATCCAATATATCAAGATACCAAACATGAGATTACACCAATAATTAAGATAACAAGTAAGAGATTATATAGTTGCTATGGAGTGGGATCAATTGATACATCTCATAAGGAAATGCTAGAGTTAGAGATCTACCACAAAAATATATTGAAGAATTTTTAGTGAGTAAAAAGTCAAACATTTTTATAGTGTAACTGCATAACTCACCGCCAAGATGTTATCAATGTCATTTTCAACCCTCCAATTGAGTGTGTCAAGCAACTGAAAAAAAAAACACAAAAATCCATTTACATCTTTGAAATTTCAAACATCGAGAAAACACAGGGTTTAATTACTTTGAAGCTAGCAATACAGAATCATTTCAAGACATTGAGGGGTTGGAAACTAGTTACCATTTTGTTTGCTTTGCAAACATTCCCATCTCGTGCTTTGAGGAAGCGCTCCAAAGTTTCCTTGGGATATCCTTGATGCAATATCTGCAAATTACAAGGGTTATATATTCAACGAAGCACATGTTTTATGCCACAGTGCAGTATCATTTCCATTAAGGGACAAAAAACAAATTTACTTCAAAACTATCCCACTGAATATTGTTTTAAGATAACAATAAAATTGGTGAGTCATGCCTAACAATGCTTGATTGTCCAACAAAAACAGCTTAGAATACCTACGGAGAATAGCAACCTTAAGTATAACAGGGAAACTGTGCAACCAATCAACCCAAGATACCTGGGAAGTCGTCAAAATGTTACTTTCCATCCTAAGCATATCACTTTGCTCCTCATGTCACCACATACCTAAAGGTCAAATCGGGAACAACACAATGTGACAAAGACACTTGCGACATATAGATCATCATCATCATCATCCGAACCTTATCCCAACTATTTGAGGTTGGCTATGCGAATCATGTTCCATCATTCTGCTCTATCAAGGACCATACCCTCAGTCAAACCATAAGCCATCATATCTCTTCTCACTACTTCCAATGTTGAGTGACGCATTAGATATTAGACGCATTTGTTGACACTTCTTGGAATTACCGCCATCCATTTTTGGACTTATTGTGCTGGACACAAGCAACATTGTGTGACATTGACATGAGTTTCCAATGTTTGTGCACATCTGGGAAAATCCTGTGTGTGTCCAAAATTTGAGCATGCCAAATAATTGTGGATGCTTGTATCTAAGAATTTGAACCCATGTGTCGAGTCTCATCTAGCAACAACAAATCACCCTACAAAACATATTGGCAAGGAACCCCCATGAGTAGAATTGTAGAAGAGATTCGGTTAGAAACCAAAGTGTAGCAATGGCATCTCTTGCACTTGTTTCCAGGATCCAGTACATGACTGTTTTTATGCCCATAACATATTAGACGGACGGTTCCCACAAAAAGAAAAAACACATTAGATGGATTTGCAATTTTGCATTACCATCATAAGGTTGGAACATTTCAGATTCCGGTAATTATGATTTGAATAACCATCTCAAGGTTGGAACATTACTCAAAACAAAAGGTCACAATTCAAATAGTTGAATGATATTTTCCTGTTTATTTGGCAAAAGACTGGGCTTGCTTGCATGTTCGCCATTGGGAAACTAATATTCAGCCTATGACACAATGCTTTTTTGCTGAAACTAAATATCCCAAGATAAAAATTATTGTCATCAAACATAAGGATTAAAACATCAATAAAACTTCACAAACAAACCCTACAAAGTTAGATGAACAATGTACTTAATGCATGGCATTGATACACCAATTCTTCAATGATTCATCTTTCCACAGTGGTGTGGTGGGGTCAAAAGCTAACATAGATACTCAACAACTTATTTCATATCAAAGGTGGACAAAAAAGAGTCAAGCAAAAGAAAAAAGGAAGAAGGAAAAGAGTTAGCCTATAATAAGCACAATTACCTCAAAACACTTCTTCAAACGCTCATCAACTGCATCAGTTACCGAAACAAAACACTTGTGTCAAATAAGCTCCAAACTAAAGAAGTTAAAGAAAACAAATATAACCAACAATCCTAAGTCTATCATGATCATACTAGAGAATACTATTACAAAAAGGATGTTTGATTGCCTCATCCAATCAAATTAGCAAAGGGGAAATGTGTACAAACACACTAAAACAACATTCAATGGAAATGTATGCAATTGTTTGAAGAACTTATATATTTGAACCTTAGCGTGATAAAGCAAGAGAAGAAAGCATACGCTTTTCTGTAAAGGAGATCATTTGATCAATGGACTCTGGGTCACAATAATCCATCTTAGAACCAGTTCCTTGGTATAATACCCGCTCCTTTAATTCCTCCTTTACTTCTATATCTCAAAAAGATACGAACATATGAAGTTTCTATAAACAAATGATCATAAAACGCAGTGAATCATGTAATAATTCATTAAAATAAATAAATGAACAGGAGCACGTAAATTGCAATGAATCACGTAACAATTCATCAAAATAAATAAACAAACAAGGGCATGCAATTTATAATCTAAGGCATTTATAGCACAAATGTAAAATCTTCTCATATAATTCATGAACATTTACTTCACAGTATATAACTGGGATACAGCCATCGAGTAAGTGCAAATCCACTGCTTGTGACATAAATAAACAAATAAGTAGATGAATAAATATATAAAAAGTGGCCATCAAATGCACATAGGACATCGACAAAGGAAGTGGGGTGGAGCCTCAAAGTTCACTTCTTCTCAAAATTGCACAAATTTGAAGCATCTATTAAGCAATTTAGTTATCAAGCTCTGAAATTATAGCACACTCGTCAGCTAAGCAGCTAATACCAAATGACACAACTAATCAAGATAATTCCGACGGATTAGAATGCATATTCCAGTTTTGATCCTGCACATTGTATCACTCGATTAGATTTTAGAGGAAAGATCCAGTCCATTTTCTATTTATTTCTGTCCATGGACCATTAATGGGATCCAAAGCTTATTGGAATAAAGCAAATAAGGAAAGAAGAAAGTAAATTAATTTCCAAATATATGACGTAGTAATATGCTAAATTTTTGGTGCTACAGTTTAGAGTCACAACGAATTTAGAAGAAAAAAAACGATTGACTTGTTGACATCTAAAGATAACTAGAGCTTCATAATTCCAAATATTTAAACATTAAATATGGTGTTAGAGTATATAACACGCAAAGAATGCCACCAAATTGATGCAAAATTGGGGGGGGGGGGATAAATAAACAAAGCAAAAAATCAAATCTAATGTACTATTTAAATTTAGGACAAAAACCCATTAAAAAATAAAAAATTGTTCATATGGATCAAATATTAGTCGATTCCAGTAAAAAACCGGTAGAGAGAGAGGGAGAGAGAGAGAGATGCCACATGTCCAATCATATTTCATCAAATTCAGAGTAAAATGAGAGAGTTCAGAAAAATGGGACTAAATCTCACCTCAACAGAAGGATTTCGTCCGAACCAGAGCGCCATTTTCACATGAGAAAAAACATATTTTTTCTCAAATAAATCAAAATATAGACAACCCAGAGCGCCACATTATGCACGGAAACTCGAAATCAGCCAAAAATTAGGGCTTTCAGGTCAGAGATTGACAAATTTTTGGGCGATTTTACGAGGAAAAAATTGAAGAAATAAAGAGAAAAAAGAGAAGATTAAAGGGTACACTCACTGGTAGGCTGCGTTTAAATGCAACTATTTATACTTTTGACGAAATAAATTTTTTTTTTAATTATGAGGTTCGAAATTTTGGACCAATTTCGTTTGTTGCGAGACGGAGCCGAAACTCCGGCCGGCGAAATTTCGGATCTCGGAAAGAGAGGGCGCACTAATACACGACAATAAAGGGCTGGCAACGGGGCGGGGCGGGGCGGGACGGGGCGGGGAGGGTCCAGGTTTTATAGAAACCAGACCCGACCTAGACCTAAACCCGAAAATATAATGTGAGACCTGGATTCACACCCAGACCCAACCAAACCCAATTGGACCCAACCGAAAAATTAAAATATCTATATATTTTAATATATTTTCACATATTGGGAAATGTGAGACCCAGACCTGAATAGTGTTCGGGTCTAAGATTTGGACCCAGCCCCGATCCGACGAGTCCAACTTTTGGACCCATATTCAAGTCGGGTCTAACCATCAGGTCTGGTCCATTGTCACTCCTAACACATCTAGTGCATGAGGTGCAAACATGTGGCCCCAATATAGGTTTGACCCAACCTGATTGGAACTTAGTTGCACCTAGATTTGGGGGTTTAGGTCCTTGGACCCAAATTTGACCGGTCAAGTCGTATTGAGTTGGTTTGGGTCTAATGGACCTGAACTAACTCGATAAGGTCCTTGGATTCAAACCTAGCCTAAGTCGAGCCCCTGCCAAACCATCCAGATCCTACCTGTTGGGTTCAATTTTTGGGTCTGGACCCGAACTCTTGTTGAGTCAACTTGGCCCGATTGCCACCCCAATTGTGCAATGCACTTTTGAACCTCAGTGCCCTTTTAGTTGCAGTTGTTGTTATAAGGAAATGTATGCAATGAGATTATTTATTTATTGATACGAGGTCACAATTATCATTGGCCATAGGATTTGTAAATGGGTGGTTGAGGATTTGCACAAAGTCCTCGACACTTTCATCTATTGTATTTCATGTTCAATGGCTAAAAATAATTGTGTACCAAAAATAAATTGTCTCATAATGTAAAATCCTTTACTATTATTAGATGTGTAAAGGATGACTCCATGGTATATTTATCAGATGGAATAGCATATTGTGTGTCCAAGAACTTGCGAGTTCACCGTAGTATTTCATAGATTTAGGATGTAAAAACATCTCCACTCACTATAAATATATTTTAGTGAGATCTTGGTTTAGATATTGACCCATAAATTTTGGAAATTTGAAATTTGAAAAATCACTACCATTTTTAAATTTAAAAATTTCCTTATTTTTCCAAATTCATGATCTTGGTCTAGATATTGACCCATGAAATTTTGGATCCAATATCTATCTTTAGGATAGATCAGGAACCCGTAAAATTTTGAGTCCAAAGTCCAAATCTAAAATGAGTTTTGAAAGGGGACATATATACAAGTGCATGGACTGATGCACATTAGAGTGATTAGATGTGATGAAACTAAAAGATTATATGCTCCCACGGGAGCATGTCTCGTATTTACTCCCTCTAGTAAAAGAACTATGTAATTTTAGGACCCAGATTTTGTTATGCAGACCAACAAAAATTTTAAAAAGTAAAAAATATGAAAAAACTAATAAGCACTCTACTTTTGCTTGCGAACGATAACATGTTAGGATTGAGCAGAGAATGTCAATCCGATATTTGGATAGCCAAATCTCAGTAATTAGAAATTTAAAATCTATGTTTCAAGGAAATTTATCAAAATGGATCTAAGATAGTAACTATTTAACATTTTACTCATTTTTTTATTTGGTAACTAAAATACACATGATCTTGAAACTGGGTAAAATATTAAACAATTGATAAGCTAGTTACATGTTCTAATAAATTCTTTTTGTAATTTTAATACGGACTTGAAAAAACACTCTTCAATAAGCCTTTTGCCTGATAGGGTAAATGCATAGTTTGCTCCCACGGAGTATGCTATGAAAAATGCCATTTTTATTCTTATTTACAACAGCATAATGTAATGTCCTTCGTTTCGATTCGAAATAGGCAAAAGACAACAAGGAAGCTTTTATAAAAAATAATTTTCTTTTCTTTCTCTCTCTCCACGTGCATATATTATAGGTGAAGTTTGCATGCATCCATAGCTGCAGAGGCCACGTGCATATATTATAGATGAAGTTTGCATGCATCCATAGCTGCAGAGGTAAGGTGCACCTTTAAATTTTATCATGGTATATAAATTTGATGTAAAATATTTTTAGGATTATTTTAAAATTTATTTTTATATCTAATTATAAAATTTTAAAATTTAAAAATGATTAAAATCAAGTACATTTATAAACATATGAAAGTCTTGAAAATAGACGGTGTAGATAATATCTTGTAAAATGCTCTATTTCTGAGACTTAAAATCCTTTTATTTTTCATGGTCATACATATCGATGTCAAGATGATCAATCAAAGGGTTTTTCAACATTAAAACTACCTCTTCCTACGGATTTTTGAGGTGCATCTGTAGTTCTACATTATAAGGTTGCATCCTCATATAAACTTTTTCCTTATATTATATTTGAAGGAAATAATCTATGCTTTTTCTATAAAACATTTCAAGCTAGGGGAATGGACCCGGACCGATGCCTGGACCCGACATAGGTCCAAGAATTGGACCCGGTGGGTCTGATCCGAGTCCATGTGGACCCAAACCAAATAGTGTTATTCTATAAATCATATTTAATATTTTAATAATATTTAAATGAATATAACTATATAATTTAATTATAATATTTAAATAACACATATATTTATTTAACATAACATTTAAATATATTTAAATATATATATTTTATTTTTGGATAGGGTCCAGGTCCAAGTCTGAGTGCAATTAGGTCCGGGTCTAGGTCCCAATCCAACCGGACCTTATCCGACCTGTTGCTATCCCCGAATTACAACCAATTTTCGTATATATTATGAATTCAATATCACTAAAATATTTAAATTTTAGAAGTTGCCTTTTCCTCCCGATAGGTCTAAAGAAATGAGGTTTCAAAGATAATCTTGTGTTAGAGAAAAGTTCATAAATTAAGAAACTATTAGTATATAATCATAGATCAATTTGATTCTATGTAACGTGGGCATTGCATATTTGTAATTTTCTGTAAATATTTATGCACAAAATATACGACACCCGTATTCGTTGTAGTTTTTATGTGTGTTTGTACACCGAAGATACGACACTCTGACACTTAAGAAACCTGTGTGCTCAATTTTAACATTTATTTTTTAAATATTATTATAAAATAATTAAATATCACTTAAAATTGCATCTCCTTCTTTTAAATGGTGCAATATGTTGGTATTTTTTACCCCCATATCTTCACACTGATACGGACATACTTATCATGTCTACATGACATAGATTTGGCAAATGGAAATCTAATATGAGATCATGGAACTACATTTATGCACATTAATTCATCAAGTACACTATCTTGAAATCAACTACTTGGAATATGGGAAAATTCATCACACGGGAGCATTAAATTGCCACATAACTAAATAGGATGTGAATTATATGATAAAAAAAGTTTATATAAAGTGTCAACCTTAAATTATCTAAACTATCTATTTTCAATTTTAAAAAAAGTTTAGATATGCTTGATATACCTGTAGACACCTCGATCTCGACTGGAGAAGTTATGGATAGGTTGAAATATCCCAGGCAGACTATCAAGATATTTTAAACCATTCACCCCATTGAAACCCTTTTTTAGTAAACCTAGCATCCACCAAATCCATATTGCCCCAGTGTGACTGAAGGTACTAAGAAGCGAGACAAAGCAAGACATAATTAGAACACGTTGACCATGAAGCATTTCAGAAGAAAATGCTCTGATGTTACCTCAACTGGCATCGAAGCCCTACCAAAATTTCGATGGCAAGATACCAAAGGCACATCAGTCGCAAAACGCGCGACCAAGGCAGGCAGACACTCGGTGCCATTCCCAACAGCGCCTAGACCCAGGCCCCTGGTGAGCTCCAGAATGCCCAAAAGACCGACGGCAGTACTGATGGCACCAGCTCCATTCCAACTAGCGTCAGGTCCCGAGACCTCCACCAGGTGGGAAACATCCCGACCCATGTGACTAAAGTGGCGAGCTAACATGTCAGTTCATACCTGTCGACATGGCAGGCCTGTACTGATATGTCATACACCAATATGGCTCAAGGCTGTCGAGTTTCTATTGGTTGATGATCAGACGAAGGTACAACCAAGGCGACGTGCCAAGTGGTATCTAGCGCCATTCCAAATGCGACGGTGCCAGTCAGAATAGCTTCAAGTTGTGGTTGGTCTATCCAAACCAGACTAGAGTTACCAGAACACGACACGTGTCTAGAACAGTGTTTGAAAGCAGTAAGAATGTCCAGTACCATTACCAATGGCATCAAACACTGACAGGTCCGTATTAGGTTGCATTAATGAGCAATTAATGTTTGCTGACAATCATTATTACGACATTAATGACATGGCGCCATTTCAAGTGTCGCCAAGTTTTTGATAGTCCGAAAATTGCACAAAACCAATCTTCAGGTTGTCCTGTGTCCATTTTGCCTATAAATAGCTCATTTTACCTCAGGCTTACGGTCCGAATTTGCTTATTCTTGTGCCTAGATTATGCTCATATTCCCTAGTATTGATCCCAAGTATAAGCTTGAGAGAAAAGCCCCAAGGTGAGCCCACTTGAGCAACCTCTATTCTACCAAATTTTTCAATCCAACACCAAAACTACAAATTCCTTTAAGCCACACTTTCAAACCAAAGGCGGTCCGGATAATCAAACATTTTAGGCCCTCATCTTCTCATTTCTACTTGCCCCGTTAAAAACCGAAAAAGTTCGAGATTGACTGTGCAGTCATATGATTTGAATCTGCGCCGACTCTGGGTGTCAGGCTTGGGGGCCCAGCCTAAATATTGTTTTCTTTCTTTCTTCCTTTAATGTTCTAGCATTTATTTTTATTTTTTAATTATATTTATGATCTTCCTCATTTCTTGATATAAAT